AGTGGGAAAGGAGGGCTGGGGCTGCAGTTCAGCGGTAGAGTGCTTGCCTGTGGAGATCTGGGTTCAATTCCCAGGATTGGAAAAAGGGGGATGAGGAAGAGGAGGGGAGGGGAGAAGCAGAATGATGACCTCATTTAACCACATTTACCAAGGCCATATTCACCAGTTCGGGGCATTTAGAACTTAGCATGTTTCTTAGGATAGGGACACAATTCAACCCTTAGCAGATGTCACGAGTTAGTGGCCTCTCCCATGCATGGTGAGGCAGAAAAGGCCCCCTGATGGCTAAGCCTGTGGAGGTTCATTTGATCTTGGTTTTATTGAGACAGCAGTGAGCGCAGGCTGGCATGCGGCTGACTGCTGATCAATCGATCAGCTTCTGCTTTATCCATCTCTCTATGATCTGTGATCAATTTCCCCTCCTAAGAGGTTCAGAAGTTCCACGAGGCAGGAATTATACAGCTCAAGGCCGTGGCGTCTCCCTACCACAGAGCCCAGTAGTTAACTCTCCATGCTTGCTGGGGTCAGACCTTGCAGAGGATCTGTGACCCTCTAAGGGCTTTGGAGATACAACTGGTTATATCCCAGAAGGCTGACCCCTCAGACCTGCTCGCCTGCACTGGATCTCCCCAGATCTTCCTTATACCCAGAGCTTTGCTTGTACAGGAGTGAGTGAGTGAGTGAGTGTGTGTGTGTGTGTGTGTGTGTGTGTGTGTGTGTGTGTGGTGTCTCCCACTAATAGGATGGCACTGTAATTGCTTAGCAAGATTACCACACCAGGACCATCCATCAAGCTCTGCTCCTAATGGAATATGGTGTCCTGAACAAGGAGGGCAGCGTCATAATGTGGGGTGTCTGTAGGCTGCTTTCTAGCTATGAGCTATGGAGCTGAAATGATAGTTCAATCGATACAGAGACACTAAAATACAGCTCTATGAATCTGCACATCCGTAAAACCCAGTTATTGACAACCCTGAGTGGCTGAATCTCAGGCCGCCTCTTTTAGCCCTGACCGGGTGCTCTCTCTGTCTCTCTCTCTCTTTCTGTCTCTGTCTCTTTCTGTCTCTCTCTCTGTCTTCTCTCTGTGTCTCTCTGCCTCTCTCTCTGTCTCTGTCTCTGTCTCTCTCTCCCCACTCCCCAAGAGGGATGGAAACGCAGCTGATTGTTTTCACAGTCTGCATGACAGACCACCCCGCTCACAAGCTCCAAGTTCAAGTGCTGTTCTCTACTCCGTGAATCTGCGTGGGAGAAGTAAGCTCTCAGGAGCCTTCCCAATTACGGCGACGCTCCATGCCTGCCTGGTCTGGCCACACCAAGTCTGTCAGTGGGCCAAGAGGTGGGCAGCCCATTACTGTCCCGGGCTCTCTGTCTCAGAGTGATCTTGGAAACAGCGTCTCCATAGTGGCTTCTGCCGCAGTCCACCTCGCTGCCTGCAGAGTTCTAGTGTGAACTAGACAAATATCTAGAGCTTCACGCCGGCCCCTCGATCCAGAAAGACTTAAGCAGCCAGGGACTGGAACACGAAGCCATTACCTTTTTTTCTGCTTTGTGTGTTCCATTTGTGGGATTTTTGAATAACAGCAAATGAATGGCTTTACACAGTTGAGTTTCCTCTCAGGACCTCCAAGTCCTTCTGAAGGAGTTGTATTGCTTCTCACCCCTTCTGTGGAGTAGGGATTGGCACACACACGGAACCAGGCTGCCCTCGAAGTGGGTCACAGTGTTGGAACAGATTCTTAGTCCCAATCTGTTGTGAGGGACCCCCCGGAGGCACAGAGCTGAGGGACACCGAGGCTCGAGCACCCTGGGACATCTCTCCTCCCCTACACACCAGCAAAGCCAGCTTCTTTTACTTCCTCATAAACAATGCCTGCCTCCCTTCAAACCACGCACCTGCCTGCCGAGGGCGGGGCTCTGCATATACCCGCTTCCACCCTTATTCCAGCATTAGCATCACCGTGCAATGAAGATGTTCAGGATCCCCAGGACCCTGCCATCAGGTCTCCAGCTCATAGGCCTGGAGCTTATCGTTATTAGTTTAATGTCTGGCTTGCCCTCACCAACTATGAGTTCTGCAACAGAGAAGGCCTATTCATTTGTTTTTATTATTATTACTGTGACTCTAGTACCGAGGTAAAGGAAGACCCACAGTAGAAGTGGAAAGATGGAAGATGGATGGATGGATGGATGGGTGGATTAATGATGCATGAGTATGTAGAAGAATAGATGGAAGGATGGATAGATACTAGGTGGGTAAAGAATAGATAAATGGATGGATGACAGATAAATTAAATAGGTGATGGATAGATGATGACTGCAGAGATAGATGAGTGAATAGATGAATGGATGAAATGATGGGTGGATAGATGATGGATGAATTGACAGATGTATGTATGGATTAATGATGGATGGGTAGGTGGATGAATAGATGGAAGGATGGATAGATGCTAGGCGGATAAAGAATAGGTAAATGGGCTGGGCGGCGGCGGCGGCGGTGGAGGCACACACCTTTAATCCCAGCACTCAAGAGGCAGAGGCAGGCGGATCTCTGTGAGTTCGAGGCCAGCCTGGGCTACCAAGTGAGTTCCAGGAAAGGCGCAAAGCTACACAGAGAAACCCTGTCTCGAAAAAAAAAAAAGAATAGGTAAATGGATGGACATACGGGTGGAGGATAGATAGGCAATGAATAAATGATGTTTGCATAGATGTATGGGTGAACAGATGACTAGATGGATGATAGATAGATGGAAAGATAGATGGATAGATGGACGGATGGATGGATGGATGGATGAGTGGGTGGATGGGTAGGTAGGTGGGTGGGTGGATAAGTGGGTGGATGGATGGATGGATGGATGGATAAGTGGGTGGATGGATTAATGGATAGATGGGTGGATGCATGGATGGGTGGATGGATGGAAGGACAGATGGATAATCTTCCCTCTTTCCACTGAGTTGGCTTACTCTATTGTTGCTGCTGCTGACTCCTTCAGTGACACCAGGACCTGCCTTTCCAGGTATCCATCAATGACAAAGGACCAGAAATTCTTCAGAAAACTTCTAGGTTTTCAGTTCCAGATTGGACTGCTGAGGTGCCCAGCATCATGGACTGATAACAACTGGGTTCTCAGCCTCTCCAGTGAGAGCCACTGTAGGACTATTCCAAATGCCGAGGCTCCCAGTCTCAAGGACTGGCCACCTACTAGGTTCTCAGTCCCTTGGATATGATTCAACTATTGTCACTATTTTGAAGTAAGTTGATTCAATACATTGTCTTAATGTATATATTCATTCTATCAGTTCTGTTCCTCTAGAGAACCCTGACAGATACAAGATCTGAGTTCCAAAGGTTTGGAGAAATCCATGTCAGGAGGGAACTACTCCCATGAGCCTCTGTGGAGAATCCTCCTTTGCTTCTCCCTAGCTTCTGACGGTGGCCATCAATCCTCAGCATTCCTTGGCTTGTGGCTGCATCACTGAGTTCTGCCTCTGCTATCACATGGCTTCTCCAGAGTGTTTGCATTTGTGCCACGATTTCCTTCCAAGGGCGGTAGTCAGTTGGAGGGTAGGCTGTCCCTTAACAAGTTCTATCCTGTGTCCAAACAAGCTCACATCCTGAGGCCCTGTGGGTTAGGTCTTCCACACAGAGGTGTGCATTCTTGAGATGCCCGCAGAGGGTCACAAGGAACACTCAGGGTGATGTTGGTGGTGGGCATGTTCCTTATAGCAAGGATCCAGAGGTGACCTCCGTGTCTGTGACTAGGGGAGAGAGATAACCTGAAGTGATACAGGATATATATATATATATATATATATATATATAACCTGACGGGATACGGGAGACAGAACTCAAGCCTAAGCTACTGGCTTTGCATGCATCGTCACAGAAGAGCTTAAGAATGTAGCAAAACTCCAAAACAGCAGGAATGGCATGGAGATGGACCGCTCGTTCATGGATACTGGCTTTTAATTCCACGCTCAGAGTAACACCGTTTCCCAGTCCGGGAAAAGTGGGCTGGAAGGATTTCTCTTGAAGATGCCAGGGTCACTGCCCGCAGGAGGCATCGAGACGTGCTTAAGAGCGGACGAAAGTAAAAGCCATCCAGCACAGAGATACCGAGGGACCTTGAGCAGGCGGGAAATGCGCAGTGTGGATGGAAACAGACCCCTGGGAGCGTGCTCAAGTGGGTTCCGAAATCTGCAAAAGGGGAAAGTTCCTGGTGACAAGGGCATGTGGTCATGGAGGGAGACACAGCAGCGACATTTGATCTACTGGTGACCATAGAGGAACGGGAGCCTGAGTGGGGAGGGTGTCGGCAGAAGGATCCGCTGGTGCAGGAGCAGGTGCCAAACCCAGCCTGTCCTGGGGGCTGTGAGCACATGAGACCAGTCACTCCATTTAAGGAGTTGGGGCACAGAAGTAACAGGAACCAAAAGTATATGGGCACAGGCCAGGGCACAGGCACAGGCCTCCCTTAGAGCCCAGAGACTCAGAAACCTTATAGCCTCAAGGTTGGTTTTTTTAGGTTTCTTTTTTTTTTTTAAGCTGGTGTGTGTGTGTGTGTGTGTGTGTGTGTGTGTGTGTGTGTGTGTGGTGTTTGTGTATGCCACATGTGTGTGGTAGCCCAAGGAGGCTACGAGAAGGTACCCAGATCCCCTGGAGTTGGAGTTAGAGGAGGTTGTGAACTGCCCACTGTAAGTGTTGAGCATCAAGCTTGGGTCCTCTGCAAGAGCAGGAAGCGCTCTTAACTCTGAGCGGTGTCTAGCTCCCCACGCCCCACCCCAAGTCTACTTTTCTGTCCTCCTTTTGGATGGGTTCTGGGGTGCTGGTTCTGCAGAGAGACCTGTGGAGGGCCTGCCCCGGGTGTCATGTGACTTTCAAAAGCAATTGCTGCATGCAGAAACACCTGCAAAAATACCTCCCAGGCATTGTGCAGGCAGGGTTGGGGGATGGGAGGGTGGGGGTTGGAGGATGGGGGTGAGGGGATGGGGGTGGAGGGGATGGGGGTGGAGGGGATGGGGTTGGGAGGGCCATGCACAATGGCATCTGGGATTCACTGGTTTTGTGGTACTGAAGCCCAGGGCTCCACACACATTCACTGGGTTTGCTCTCAGTTCCCCAAATAAGGGCCCTACCCCATAATAAAGTTCCGAGGCCCAAAGGAAGGGACAGGTTTGGTGGCAGCAGGTGTGGGGGGCTGTGCTGTGACAGCCTGCAGCCTCTCCACATCTGCTTCGTCTTCAGGCCAGTTCTCCCCTCTGTAATATAGACAGCCACCACGGGACCCCTTGGAATCCTAACTGTAAGATGCCTTTTCTCCCAGGAGTTCCGGAAGTTGGCTCCCTTGTGCCAGCCCGAGTCTCACAGACATCCCAGCATCACTCTGGTCAGGGCTGTGGGAGACTGTGACCACACCTGGGCCTCCTGCTTGCTGCCAGAGTTTGAGGGTAAAAGGACCAGGCGATCTCGTGCAAAGTGGGGGAGACAGAATTGAGCTGCGGTCATGTGACAGGCAGGTAAAGCAGAGCTCACCAGACACCATCGTGGCTCACTAAGAAGTAGGCTGAGTGTCATTTACTTCCTCCCAGACAACCCAGTTCTGGGTCGAGAGAGCGGTTCAGTTAGCAAAGCCCATTCGAAGCCCTGGGTGTTCTGGAATAGGACTTTAACTATGTAAAGATGTGTTGCATTTGTTTATATGGCGGAATATTTATTGCTTTAACTGTGCAAAGATGTGTTACATTTGTTTATGTTGCAGAATATTACTTTAACTGTGTAAAGATGTGTTACATTTGTTTATGCTGCGTTTGTTTAACAACGTACAGATGTGTTGCATTTGCCTTGCCTACCTAGGGCACTGGATTGGTCTAATCAAAAGCTGAACAGCCAATCGCTAGGCAGTAGAGGGATAGGCAGGGCTGGAGGGAAGAGAGAGTAAGTATAAGACAAGCAAGAGAACCAGGAAGATGGGAGACATCTAGCGCCAGCCAGCAGATACAGAGTAGGACATACAATAATAAAGAAAGGTAAAAAGCACTGAGGCAAAAACATAGATAATAAGAGACAGGTTAATTTAAGTTAAAAAAAAAAATAAAGAAAAAGCCTAACCAAAACCCGAGCATAAGCTAGGACCGAACATTCATAACTAATAAGAAGTCTCTGTCATGATTTGGGAGCTGGTTGGTGGCCCAAATACAGCCTGCTACACCCGAGTCCCATCCTCAGCACAGGCCCGTAATCCTAGCACTCAGGATCGGATGCAGAGGGACGAGAAGTCTGAGATCATCTTCTGCTACATGTTGAGTTCAAAGGTAGATGGGCTGTGTGAGACCTGATGGGAAAGAAGGAAGACAAAGGTGGGTGTCTGGGTGTTCACCCTGATTCATTCCTGCTCTCCAGGTAATGAAACCGAGACCCAGGGGGTTCCACATCCAGGCCACATCACACCCCCACTGTATGAGCGAGCACTCCTTACCCGGAGGCATTCCATAGTCACAGAGGACGGGAACTCATGACTCCAGTTGGACCCCATCCCGCAGGGCTCAGTGCTCCGTTCCAGTCTTTTCCTTCAAGCCTCATCAGCAACTTCTTTCTTTTTACAAACCGTACCATGAAACCAACCAACTGCTTTGGGAGCTCCCTGCTGGCTTCAGCTCCCAAGCTGTTCCCTAGTGAGAAATTCCAGGACCCCCAAGCCCATGGGGCAATATTTCTCAATGCCATCTTGTTTCAGGATGGCAAAAAAAAAAAAAAAAAAAAAAAAAAAAAAAGACACAAATACACCCACTGAACTGCGCTGTCCATGGAGTCCTCCTTGAGGCGAGATGCCCCCATCAGGCGGGAGCCTGCACAAGTCCCTTGTAAGAAGGGTTAGCTGGGCTCCTTCGGTCCAAGCTGCGGCGTGGGGGTTGAGACAGACAGCCTCTTTTGGTTAGTCAATCAGCAGCTGCAAGGGATGCGTAGGAAGGAGCTAAAATTATTTGTTCCTTTTCTTTCTCAGAACAGCAGCCTCGTGGCTCAGGGGGCAGCTGTCTCGCAGCCTCTGCACGGGCGCCTTCTGCAGCCTCCTAGGTGCCCCAGGATTCCTTTCCCATCTCATTCCCTTCCTGTCTGAAGTTGGGGGGTGAGGATCCTGGGCCAGTGGGTGGACAAAGCAGGCTGCCAGATGGCCCCCATGAAACTCAGTCAAGTGCATGCTGGTGGATGTCCCCAGGTTCCTGGGGCAGCAGCCTGGGGAAGGCCACACCCCAGGAAGCCACAGAGGTCCCACTAATCCTGCTTTCACTTCAAGCCCCCCCCCGCCCCCCCGTGGGAAAAGACACTCAAGTCTACCGAGGAGGAGGAGGAGGAGGAGGAGGAGGAGGCCGCCCTTGCCTCCTATTCCAGAATCTACTGTTTAGCAAAGCCTAGCCAAGGAACTTTCATCCAGGTCTGGAGCAGACAGGTTGAGGCAGGTTTTAAAAAGCACTTTATGAGGCTTTCAAAGGTACTCACGGGGAAGGAAGTGAAAGGAGTCTGGGCGGTGGGGGGTGATGCCGGAGGAACGGCATCTTTATTTCCAGCCCCGCTTGAGCGGCTTCTTGACAGTTACCACTCGGGTTTTGCTGAGTCAGAAGAACCCTCAGCTGCCTGCCGGAAACACAGCTGTTAGGCGAAAATAACCACAGAAGCCAGCAAACGCGTACCTTCCAGAAAGGGGCCGAAAACCACAAAACAAAAGAGAAAGATACAAGGTAATAAAAGAGACACTGTCACACGCATACACGCCACACACGGACACCGTGCACACACTCCACACACACCCACACACCACACACATACCACACACTCCACACAC